GCTGACTGAGTCACCGTGATTAATCGCTCCATCATTCTGTCGGGTCGAGGTGGGGGGCTTGGGCAGAGGCGGACCCAGGAAAGTCATTTTGGGGGGGGCGAAAATATTTGGGGGGGGTTCAAAATACTTTTTGGAAGATCAAAAATTATTTTTCGTATATATATACACTAAAAAAAAATTGTTGGGGGCGGTAGCCCCCTGAGTCTCTACTACAGTCCGCGCCCCTGGGCTTGGGGTAGGGCATTCAACCTTTGGGACCAAGCGAAGAGTAAACACAGTAAGTTACAAAGACTGACCGAGCGGGTCAATAAGTTTCGAAGACCGCCGGCCGGGCAACTCGTATAGTGTGGCACCAAGTTACCCACGATTCCAACTCCTGCGTGGACCGAATTAATTAAAGAAGCCATAGAAGAAAACAATGGGGTCTGACCGCAGCTGGAAAGGCTGCCCCATGAAATTGATGAAGGAAAACACATGCATATATTTAGCTTCAAGCCGCGGCAATGTAGAAGAGAAACATGTAATTTGCCCACCCGTACAGACAACATCAGCGCGATTACTAGTTCATGAGAAGATTGTCTCCAGGCAAGAGGCAACCAAGGAATGCAAAATCATACTCTCTTTATGATTTTCGAGTGAAACGTTGGAATCATGGACTTCATCATTTACGAAAAATTATGTTAAGACTTAGGCTTCGATCCCAAATCTATGAGACAACCACAAATGACATTAATGCTTTTTAAATCTATTGGTAAAAATAGTTACTTTGATACATCAATAAAGTCGATCTGATCTACAAAAGGATTAGAAGCTGGCTCGATCATACATCAATATAAAGTCGATTAGCATTGAATTCGCAAAAAGGAAGCTAAGGACAATACAATTAGCATAGTTCAAAAAAAGGGTGACACTCTATTATTAAGACCATTAGAACTGAGAGACAATTATTTAAAAAACATGTAAATTGAGCTTTGATACACTCATAATGGAAAAAGAATGGATTCTATTCCAATTATTTGCTCAGAGCTCACCCGGGATCTCTCCTTTCCTACCCGTGAGCTAAGCCCCGGGGTGCATAGTCCAATGTTTGATGTCAATGTACCCCTACAACCTGGAATATAATGTTGATTCATACTAGAGTTATGCTAGAGGTACAAAAACTTTTACAAAAAGTCTTACAAAAGGAGTATGTAGCATCATCACAATATTTAATACATCACATCACATTTACAACACTTTTACATCAATGGTAATTAGAATAGGCACATCACTTGTTTGTAAGTTTTTTTGTAAGTGTGTTTGTACTTCTAGCATTTTTCTTCATACTAATGTTAAAGTGATTTTATGTACGTTTCATTCCAAATTTATTGTCTCATTATATTTTTGACTGTTCCGAACCTTTAATTTAAAAAACAATGTACCCAAAAAGCTACTATAATGCGCATTTGTGTATACACTATACACCCACTTAAAACCAAGTCTGAGAGAAATTAAAATACGATAAAATGGCTGATCTTTCATTAATAAGTTGATATGGAAGATCAAAGCTTGAAGATTTTTCATTATTAATATTCGACCTGAACAAAATAAAGACAGAAAGAAGGCATGACTATAGATGCGCACAATCATTTTGAAAGTACCCACATACTTGTATATTTTAATGCTTGGGAGAAAAAAATACGAGAAACTATATATCTTCTACTTATAAATTAGAGTTTACTACGTATTTGACAACACTAAAAGTATTTGTTAAAATTGATGAATTATGATTGAAACAGGTGAATTGACCAAAATCTTTGAATTATAGAAAAATAATACGGAGTATGTAGTATTTAAAATATTTTTTCCCATAAAATAAAGATAGAATAACATGAAAAATGACTAAAATGTCCCTCCACAGTAACTTCAAACCCCATTTATTTTGATTAGTACACAATTCATCGTATAAAATTAATAGTAATGTGTTTGATAAAATTAATAAACCAAGAATACAAATGACCAAAAGAATTCTAAATATAGAATAACTACGTAGTCCGTACTCCGTAAAACTTTACAAAAATTATAGAGAGAAGCATGATTATATACCCGCACCCTCATAGTGAATCACCATGATCACTTCAAGAAAAACTATTCTAAATAGGATTCTAAATAGGAATCTGAATAGATGATATTTCAAAATAGTATCATACTTCGTAATTACAATCATGTTTGAAAAACACTACCGAGTATCAAATATAATACTCCTATCTGGTGATTTCTTCCAACTTTCCTTTTTGGACCGTCCTAATTAATTCTTTCAACTTCCACTTTTGGAAAAAATATGTGGTTCACATTCATTCAATTTTTTCTTATACAACTACAATCATATTGTTCCACTATATTCTCACTTTCTAAATTTGCGAGCCAATCAAACTTTGAAGAAATGACGGGGACGAAGTGAGTACTACAATATTAACGGTTGGTATTCGAAAAGTAATGAATCACTTCTATTCAAGACAATCATTTCAAAGTATCATATTTTGTGCTTGTTATTCGAAATTTAAATAAATTCCAACACTTTAAAAATCATAGTTTAGTTTTTGTAGCATGTACAAAATGTTGTTATAGATGCTAAAAATATCACAATATATCAAATGCAACATCCGACGTCACGACGTGTGTTGCAATAGATGTATTGTAGTAATTTTTCATTTTATTGTAGCATTTATTGGTATAATAATGTTGCAATATACTCCGTATATTGTAACACTTTCTATGACATTACATAATATATGCTAGAACTAGGGACGGGAACATAGAAACATCATGTTCCGCAGAGTGAGTGACTGAGCATCGATCCAAGATCAGACTAGATCGAAATCTAAAGAGTTTTGCTAGGAGTACTTCAAAATGTACCCCATTTTTACCCCACTCCCTAATGTGTGGCCATAAATGGGACAATTCATTTAAGTGGTACCTCATTTTTATTCCACTTAAATGAATTGCTCCATTTATGATCACACATTAGGGAGTAGAGGTAAAAATGAGGTACATTTTGGGATATCTTTAGCATTTGTGAAATCTAAATTCCTAAGAATATTGGATCAGAGGATGGGCAAATATAATTCTGAACTAGGGACGGACTGAGCAAAGAAATTCTAATAGTAAGAGACTTTTGAGACTGCCATCTAAAAAAACGGGACATGGGATGATGGACATGGGTAGATTGGTTGGGATGGGAGAGAATAATGCTGATGTATAGTAAAATGTGATTTTTCTCTCAAGTGATGTAAGTTTTTTTTTATTTACACACATATTTTTACAAAAAATATATATATGAAAATTCATAATTTTGTAATCTTTCAATTCATATGGCACCAATATGCATCTGTAACATTTTTCTAAAAAAATTAAGTTTGAATAATAGGAACTTCTCTGATTCAATTTTTTCCTTAAATAAATCATGTGCTAAAATTAAAATCTTTATTTTAAAATAAATGAAACGTGTAAAATAATTACTTTAACAATGAAATCTAAAATTTTAGTACTTGAATCTATTTAAGAAAATTATTGAGTCTGGAAACTATCTATTGTTGAAACTTCAAAAAATAAATTAAACTCTATATATGGAATATTGATGTCATTAGAAAGATTATGAAAAAGCTAAGACTTTTGATAATATTTTTGTAAAAATTGGATTACAATAAAAAAGCTACACCACTTGAGAGAAAAATGAAATTTTGCATTACCATTATTTTGCATTGCATGTTAGCTAATCCCATAAAATAAGAAAACACCCTGGACTGGGCAGCATTATTCCGAGAACGATCAACACGTATTGAACTGGATATAATTTTAATAAAAAAATGAACCAAAAAAATTAAGTTTGATGGTTATTAATTTTTCTTAATCATAAATCTCTCTTGAATGATATTTAAATAAAACTAAGTTTAAATTAATTCCTAATATTTGTTACATTCTACTCCGTTTGATGTATTAAATACATTTTAGATTACAAAATATATTTAAAAAGTTATGACTTTTGATAAAAAATTTGTAAAAATTGAAGTACAACTAAAAAAGCTACACTACTTACGAGAAAAATGAAATTTTACATTGTTAGCTATTCCCATAAAATAAGAAAACACCTTGACTGCATTATTCCAAGTACAATCAACATGTATTGAATTGGGTATATTTTTAAATTAAAAAATTAACTAAAAAATTAAGTTTGATGGTTATTAATTTTTCTTAAACATAAATCTCTGTTGAATGAATATATTTAAATAAAACGAAGTTTAAATTAATTCTTAATATTTGTTGCATACTACTCCATTTGAAAATATGTTTTGAAATAACACTCACTCTTGTCTTATTTGATTTGCCAACTTCGCTTTTTGTTTATCTCTACTTATTTTCTCTCTCACAAGCACATAATTTTTACTTCTGGTTTTCAAACTTGACTATCTAATGGAACAAAGTTGATCATAATTAATAATTACAATGCAACGCTCCTGATCTAAATATTCTGGTTTTCAAACTTGACAATATCTAATGGAACAAAGTTAATCATAATTAATAATTACAATGCAACGCTCCTGATCTAAATATTATCTAAATATTGGGACGAATCGGATCCAGATACTCCAGAAAACTTAGACACAGAAATGACAGAATGGCATGAAACCATTCTGGCTCAGTCCAATATGCGGGCTGGACGGGAATATGCTCATCCCTGAGTTTAATTAAGAACATAGACAGAGATTAGCTATTTATAATCGTAATCTCCAAAAGAGAAGAAAATCGCATGAAGTTCAAACTAGAGAACGTTCATGTGTTAATATTAAATGAAAAATTTAAGAATGACTTTTGATTTAACATTTAAGAATAGAGAGGGCAAGTGCTAATATTACCGGGGACATATTTTGTTTCATTTCGGAAGGGCAAGAATTTAGTTAAGGAGATCCAACTGGAGGTAAAAGTGTCATGAAAACTAAATGTTAGACTTCCCACATTATCACGAGCACCAAACTTGTATTCACCAAAGTTTAAAGATTACTGAACATTGATTGTTGTTGCCTCAAACGAGGAAATAAAAAAAAACAGACAACTTCATCACCACCAAAGTTATTGAAATGCTAGTTTTCAAATTAAACAGATTAACAATAATGGCAGCAGCCTTATCCCATAGCATACTTTTGTGTCCAGCTACGAGCAGTGAGCTCATATTTGGACTTGTCGTTCTTATACATTTGAGCTATTTCTGGTACAAGCGGATCATCTGGATTTGGATCCGTCAGCAGAGAGCAGATAGACAACAGAACCTGAATGACAAGTACCAAATAAAAGAAATTTAGGAGAGAACAAAGTTAAGAATGACACCAAGGAAAATATTAGGCTCAGCTACCATAATAATATCAGTTGTTAGCACTTAGCAATGCCCCATACAGTGATACAGCCAAACAACATTGTGTCAAGGAAGTATTCGCGTAATTTAATACTGAAGGGAGGATATTAAATTCCATTTTGTTTGGTTGGTAGGATTATAGAAATGCGATTAATAAGAATGTATATATTCATTATGTTGTAATGTTGTTCGGTAACCTAATGAATAGAGATGGAAAGGTAAGGAATAATGAGGTTGAAGACCAACATGCCTTGGTATCGCTAATTTTCTTCCTTACCCTGTTGCCCACATGGAAAAGCAACCCAAGGACACATAAGAAGTATTCCCCAGTTTGAGGAAAAGCATCTCAAAAAAAGAAAATAAAGACATGTACCAAACATGTGTCATATTTCTCATTCAAAACAAAGTGAAAAAGGAATATTTTCTCCATTACACCGACAATGCAAGAAAAACAAAGATGAAGATAGATTCATCAAGTCACCGCAGAAGAAAATGAAGTTATTCAAACCTTGGATATGGTTAAAGCTGGGCTCCACTGGTCTTTAAGAATATCTAGGCAAATACTTCCATTGCTGTTGATGTTTGGATGAAAGACTTTAGTTCTAAATGCAACCTGGCACAATAAAACTAGTTCATTTATCAAACAACTCAAAGTGATGTCCAATGGAACTGGAGCACATTAGTATAAACCTTGATGGATTTGACCACTTTAGAAAACATGATTATATTTGACCTAACTTCTTTGAATAAAAAAAAAAAGATGTCCAATGGAAGTATGGAACAATGGCGGTAATATACTGACAAGGCACTAAAAAATTAAAGGAGTAATAGGAAACCTTTGGTGGCTTAAAAGGGTAATCAGGTGGAAAATGGATTGACACGAGAAATACTCCCCCAGTATATGGGCTATCTGATGGTCCCATAATAGTAGCTTGCCAATGGAACATATCTTGGGCGACGGGACCTGCAATAAATAAAACATTCCATGAAGCAAATAAAGGAAGATAATGGTCAGAGAAAGTTTGTTTCACTGCAAAAACAGATTAAATGCTCTGAACTCAAGCATATAACCTGTTGTTTAAGTGTTTCAGAGTTAAATTATTTCAAACAAATAAACAAGATATGCTTAACAAATACTGTTTGTTGTTAGCTTTTGGGTTGTGTGTACAAATTTTCCTAACATATCCCAAATTGGGGGAACATAGATGTGGACAGGTGAACGTCAATGCTAGTCCATACTACTACACCATTATATTCACACAGTTCTCAATTATTTCAAAATTTTTAAGATTTGTTGACAGGAAGATCATGAGATAACTTCTCTTGCTACCAGCAGTCTCAACTCTCAGTCTCACTAGGTCAGACAAGGCACATAACCATTTAGCATAATACCAATAGAATAGCAATCTACAAAAATGATCTTTGTAGCTTGTTAAATCTTTGGTGTTCAAAATTTAGATGTATTAATGTATATAATTACAAACAGAGAAGCTTTACACGCATCGAATGAATGACTATTTGGTATGAGTAATACAAAGAGTTAATTTGGTCCCTTCACAATAGTATTACCCGATACAGTATTTACTTCCTGTACTCAAATTGGTCCTTAACTATGCAATTTGGATCCATATGCAGTTCCTAAACATATTCGGCTCACACTAAGAAGGGCCTTTTTATCAATTCAAGTGGTCTAAGAAATAAATTGAATCCCAAATGCAGTCAATAACAACATGAAGTAATAATTTATACTGACTACATCTGTTTTTTTATACCGACAACATCCATTATTTAATCATACATTCACAGATGCATATATACATACATACGTGTAAGCAATAATTCAGGAAGATGATAATTGATAAATACTCAAAACTTAAAACATTGTGTTTTGGGAGAAAAACAAATTTAGCATTTGATTACATCCAAGGTCTGCTAATAGATCCAATAGAACAGGCAGGTAAGATTTACTACGGTTTACATTGCCGATATTCATTACTTAAGAACTGATTTTGGTGATTTGCATCGTGGGATTAAAGATGTTATAAGATGGATGTTTTAACTTTTTACAACCTAGGCACAAGCAATGGAGTGTTAATAACTCCACTTTGCAAAAAACCTAAAACTATCATCAATGAGAAAAACTGCAAAAAAACAACAAGAGAAACATTAAGCATACCAGCACTACACGATGAGGGCGGATCCTTCTGCAGATCCTTGAGCTCCTTCAGAATGCGCTTCGAAGCCATTTATTAATCCGTACCGCTTAAAGTCCTGCTGAATCCATTCATATTAAACACATCGTTTTATTAGTAATCAATAACTATGGAATTCAAAAAGTAGATGATAAAGCGGGTCGACTAACCTAAACCTAAACCCCAACAACCATCAATAAGCAAAACTCTACCTCACAAAATCAAAACAAAACCTAGATGACGCTCTAGGCTGAAACAGGGAAGATGCAAGCGCAATATGGCAATCGGGGGTCAGATTGAGAAAGAAGAACCTGAAGTCAGAGTCGTATGATGAGAGGAGATGAGCTGAACAAGAGACGACCTGGCGATTTTCGGCAAACGATGGGCACGATTTATAAGGATTTTGGATTTATTAAACGAAACGACGGAGTGGGGTCCACAAAAACTCTTCTAGAACTGTCCCAGTTTTGCGTGCAACCAACGGCAACCTCCCCTCCCAGGTACATTGTTCGTCTATAAATTCAAATCGTACATTTTTTTAACCAAAAATCGTACGCTATTACCGAGTATAAATCGTCCGTCTCTCAATTACACATTTACACCAAAACACAAATTCTATTACGGAGTATATGGTGATATTTTTACAACACAAATGGTTTGGTTTATTTGAATTGAATTAAAAAAAAAGAACTAATGTGGTTTTAGTTCACTTACATGGGTGTCCCCAATTCGGATTCGGATGTTAATGGAGTTTAGAATTTCGTCAAAATAAGGGTGTCCTCAAACATTCCATTGCATTATGTTGTTACTTATTTGCACGAATTTTAATGGATTTTGATGGTTCTATATACAAAAACAATCCATCACAATCTTGTAGACTCCCCTCGGATTTCAAAATCCATGGTCTTTTAAAATCTATCACAGTCATAATCGGGGACACCCCCCTTAAGTTAATCATGTGAAACAATTTTTCACACTGAATAGTTTGATTTCGTTTTAAACAGAAAACCGTAAATAAAACAGAATAATTTGTAATACTCCCTCCGTCCCTTAAAATTTTGTCAAGTTTAACCTCGAATCCCGGCAACTGCGATGAGGGGTTACTATGCTAAAAAATGCATAGGGCCTCTGCAAGTACCGGGGACAGAGCCCCACTCTCTATCTGTCAGATTGGGATTATAATCCAACTTACATCCTCCCAACGTACTGTCCGGTCGGGGTTGGGGGGCCCTCAGGGATGGGGTGTCATCCTTTTTTTTTGTCAAGTTTAACCGACACGGAGATTAATAAAGTAAAAACTGTGTGATTGATGTTTGTGCAGAGAAAAGAGAATTAATTGGAATAAAAAATTCTTTACTTAAAAAGGAAAATGACAAAGCTAGTGAGACAAAAAAAATGAAAGTTGATAAAGTTATAAGTGATGAAAGGAGTATTTATGAAGGGAAAAGGTCAAATAGATTATTCTATTATTTTTATCAATCACGTAAACTTCTATACCAAAAAAAGTAGGGAAAAGGGGCATTTGATCGGTTTTTTGACTTGCAATAAATACACATATTCTTCAAAATACACATAATTTTTGACTTGCAATAAATACACGTAAACTTTTATACTTCAAAATCTTCGAAAAATTGTTAAAATTTGAAGAAATACACATAAAAATTGTGAAAGAACTAAGAATGTCAAAAAGACAATGTTTTTTATTTTTGGAATTAATTTTTATATTTTACATTTATATAAAAGGTTTTAACAATTTTAATTTTATAGTTTTACATGTTCACTTTTTTTCAACTTTTCTCTTTTTATTTTTTTATTAAACGTTTTTAATTATTATCTATTTTTTCATTTATACTATTTATATATAATTACATTATTTATCAAATTTATAAGAATTTTTATAAGCTTCGTCAATTGTCCTAATTTATTTTTTTAAAATAAGTTGCTATAGCTCGTGGTCAAATTGGCTTGATTTATAAAATAAGCGTATTACATAATACTTTTTCCGTATAAGGACTTAAGTGATGGATTGAAAATAGTATAAGAGTTAAGGGGCGGATAGGGCCTCGAACTTACAAAAAAATGTCAAATAAGGTGATATATAGGATGCTCAGTACATCCGACGACATTTGGAGTGGTTCCCGGTTAAATTTTTCGATGAAAATTTTTGACCATCTTACTCATTAAGTCTAGTTTACTCATATCAAATTTTAACTAAAAATTCAATTGGGAAGATATTCAAATGAATTCTTGAAAATAACTGCGCAGTTAATAGCGCAGTTATCTTCAAGAATTTATTTGAATGCTTTCTCGATTGAATTTTTAGTTTAAATTTGGTATGTCTAAACTAGACTTAATGAATAAGATTCTCAAAAAATTCATCAAAAAATTCCATCGATAACCGCCCCAAATGGCGTCGTCTGGGCAAATCATCTTATATAAAACCTTATTTGACATTTTTTTGTAAGTTCGAGACCCTATCTGACCGTTATCCCTTTATTTTATCTTTTTGTCTATTTATAAATAAACTGTGTATGTGTCATCACTCTTCATGTTTAGGATATATATATATATATATGGGTGAGATCACATACAAACCATGCTTAATTTACTAACCTACAAACTCAATAATATGCAACATTTTGAACTTAAATATGCAGCACAAATAATTTAAAGATGCACACTTTGAACTTCAATATGCAATACAAATAATGTAAATATTAAACTGCTATTTTTTGGCTTGAATAATATGCAACACTTTGAACTTCAATAAGCAATACAAATAATGTAAAGATGGTTTGCATGGGAGAACTAGTTTGTATGTGATCTCACCCTGCATCTTTACATTATTTGTACTGCATATTGAAGTTCAAAGTGCCGCATATTATTGAGTTTGTAGGTTAGTGAATTAAGCATGATTTGTATTTGATCTCTAATCTATACATGTTTAGATAATTTAGATATGAAAAATACATGTTTAGCTTGTACCATTTTACCTTATACACATTTCATGCATTCATTATGACAAACTTGGTTAGCTAATAAGACATACTTGAATTTGTTATATTTTGTACTCTACATGTGTGAAAAGATGTTTGACGGTGATAATAGCACTTTGCATTTGTATGAATTTCAGTTAAACTATAGTATAATATACATTTTACATGATTCATTTGAACGTTATAGTTTTACAACATTGTTACCTCCAACACATTTAATATTTCTTGAATATTTTATGTGATATCACAAATACTTATCAACTATAAACTTATCTGTTGTGAGAGGTGATTTTTTTCTAGTCGGTGAAAAAAATGTTAAAAACTTTTTTAAGGTTCTCACGCGATTTACGATATACGTAGTATTATTGATAATAAAGTTAATCGATCTCTGTCAATAATAAAAATATTTTTAGCAAATAAAAATTACATATTTATAAACTATATTAAAGCTATTATGAAATCGCAGAAAAGAAACTCAAATTTGATAAAAGTTGGATATATATAATTAAAGTGAAAAAGTAAATAACTATTTATGTTGACCGAATAATAGTGGGCGGGAACCTTTACTTGGGGTAGAGACAGTAATTTATAATATTTTATTATTTCTTTGCTATATTTTATTTTCTTTCACATACTATTTCAACAAAATAAAAAGATGAGATGGACTACAATATTCCATTTATATTTCTTAAATAGAGAAGTTGATCAAATAAAATAATAAACATCATATCTGATCCCAAAAAAAATCGAACTAAATGAACCTAAGGGCCTGTTTATTAATAGAGATATTTTCCAGTTTTCCAGAAAACTGGAAAACTAGAAAACAGAAAACAGGAAACATGTTTACCAAAGAAAATTGCTGGAAAACTGGAGAAAGGAAAACAAAAAAACGTGTTTACCAAACCGTTTTCCAAAACGAAAATAATGAGACATGTCTCTATTTGCCTTAATGATTTGGAGAAGTGATTTTTACTAGTTTTCCAAATTAGGAAAACGCAAATGTTACAGGCCGCTGCAATGAATTTGCATACATGTACCTTACCCCTACCCTACCCCCCCCCCCCCACCACTTACCCCTTTTCCCTACAATGACCCTACCCCCACCCCCTACCACATGCCCTTACATCGGTCTCACCCCGATCCACCCTACCCTACCGCCACCCCCTACCACCTCAACCCCACCCGACCCACCCTACCCTACCCCCACCTCGTATATACCCCTTACCCCCACCCCTACCACATGCCCATACCTCGAATCCGGACCCGTTAGTATTTTAAATAAACGGGTCGCGTATGGTACATATGATTCCGACCCGTTAAGGACTCAGACCCGTTTTAAATTTCTTATTTGTATACACATACACTCAAACATAAAGTAGAAACTAATATACATATATACATAATAATACATAAAGTTATTAGTTGTGAATTTGTGATTATTCAATAAAAATATACACATTAATACATAAATACTAGCTACTGAGTATATAAGTGATACTGATCAAGATAGTAAGATACCCTAAAACTAATATTTATTACTATTGTTATTAATATTATCATATCATTATCATATATAATACTACATATGATTTTATACTCTTAGTAGTCCAAGAGACCTTTTTATGACTTAATTTCTAATTTATTCTACGAGTTTTTGTGCGAGACAAAGCGGCGCAAAGTGTGGAGTTATATGCCTGTACAAGAACCGATACTTTATTAGATAAAAGTACTAATTTTCTATGAGAGACCTTGATTTTTTTTAAAAGTGAAGATATATTTTGCTTTTAAATTTGTACACTTTGCTGTATACTCCGTATTTCACATACATGTCTTGCTATTTTCACAAAGTTTATAATGGTGTGTGTATCATACTTGTCGGGCGGGTCTACCCAACTCGATTCCGAGACTTGTTGAGTCTGGGTCCGGGTCCCAATTTTCAGACCCGCCGGGTAAATGGGTCGGGTCCGGGTCCATTATTAACTTAGCGGGTCCGGGTCTGGAACACTACATTCCGACCCGGACCCGACCCATTGACAGGCCTATATAGGGGCAGGGTAGGGGTTAGGAGTATGGGTACAAGTACGAGGTGATCGACCCCACATATTATATTATATATTTGTGTTCATGAATGTTTGTGTGTCTATATATGTATAGGGTTATTTTGGACATTTTAATGTTAAACGGTGTTTTAAACCTTTTGAAGTAAACATGATCTTATAACATTGCTTATTTTATGCGTCGCTTATTAACGTGAGTCTTAATAAGCACCATTTAGTAACCCGTGAAGTAAACGTGTCAGTCTTCTGGATGATCACAAAACTGGGTGAAAAAAATGATGAACATGTTTTGAGATTTGAAAATGGAAAACTAGAAAATAGAAACAGAAAACTGGAGATAGAAAAACTGAAAAATAAAAACAGAAAATTGGAGAACGAAAAACAAAAGTAGAAAACAGGAAAAAATTTCTGTTAGTAAACAGGCCCTAAATTTTTCACCTTGTTAATCCGAACTTGATACCCCAACCAAATCGAAATCAAACTGAAACACAAATGATTTTAGTTCGATACAATATCTTCAAAACCAAATAAATCAAAACTCAAACGAACCGATGAAAACTGAACTGTAAATTGATATCCCACCCTTAACATATTATATTGAGAAAA